CGAGGGCCCGGCCAGCCCTGCCCGATGCAGCACGCCTGGGGGCGCTCAGGTGGGGCGGGGTGGGGCCCCCAGGCCTACCTGTCGGGCTGGGCGAGCGGGAATTGGGTCTCCTGGCCCTGCGCCGCCGCCCCCCTCTCTGCAGCTTCCGGTAGACCGCCTCCGGGATGTCGTCCTCGGGGAAGAGGCCTGCGGCGGAGGCTGCCGGTCAGCAGCTGCCCACCAGCCCCGCCGGGCCCGGTCCTAACTGGACGCCGGGTCTGGAGGTGCCTGAGCCGGGAAGGAGGGGCGCTCCCCGCTGCTGCCCGGCCCAGGTGGCCGCCCCGGGAGCTCCGCCGGGATGGCACGTGCCCACACGGCCCCCCGGGACCCACTGTGGGCGCCTCTGCACGGCGTCGGGGAGCTGCTGTGCGGTGCCCCCACTGGGCCCGACAGCCTCACCTGGACAGAGGTGCCTGCCTCACCCCGCCCGCGGCCGGACAGGACTGACCAGACACCGGGCTCCCCCCGCCGAGCCTCAGAGCCGCGGGGGCCTCAGGGACGAGAACAGCCCGGAGCGGCCAGTCCCTCCCCCTCGACGAGAGGGGTCACGCCAGGTCGCCCAGAGGACGAGACACCCGCCTTCCGGGTCCTTCTCGAGCCGCGGCCGTGCTCACCTTCAGCGAGCTGCTGCAACCTGAGAGAACAGTCAGTCACCCCAAAGCAGTGGGCAGCATGAGGCGACAGCAGCCAGGAGCCTGCCCGGCCCCAAGACAGGGCGCCCCGCTGCCCGCCGGCACAGGGAGGGGGGGGGGCTGGCGGGCGGCGCTCACCTCTGGATCACCTTGTAAAGCCGCTTCCTGTTCTGCGAAGGCGTGTCCAGCCCGCTGGCCTCCTGGAAGAGCCTGCTGGCCACGGCCTCGTAGTCAAACTGCTCCGGGAGGAGGCGGCTGGTCAGCAGGGCCAAGCACCACCCGGCAGCACGCTGCCCCGACCCAGCTGGGGCCCCCGAGACGCGCCCTCACAGCCACCCAAGGAGCCCGCAGCGCGGGGCCAGAAGGACGCGAGGGGGCTCGGCCGCAGCTTCGGGGCGGCCCGAGAAACAGGCCACAGCTGCTGCAGCAGTTGGGTCCCGACCCTGGAGGTGACCCCAGGGTGCAGCAGACACCTCCGTTGGCGCCGCCCCCTCAGGAGTGGATTTCAGTGGGCCTGTCCTGTTCCCCACGCTGTCTCTGGGAAGTCCTCCCACCCCCCACCTCCGGCCTGCACCCCAGCTGTCGGGGCATAAATGAGCCACAAACGGGCGGCGGGCAGCACCTCCCGAGCGCCGGGCGGCCCAGCAAGCGCAGCGCTCTGGGCTGACAGGTGCGGTCTGAGCCCGCCTCGCTCCCGGAAGCCGGGGGGGGGCGGGGGGACCGGGCACCAGGCAACTTCAGGGTGGCTTAAGCCTTAAGACGCCTGGAGCAGGAAGAAGGCGAGACGCGGAGGATCCCGCGGCAACCTGAGCTGGCCTGCCCGCCGCCCCGCCCAGACACGCACCTGCAGCACGCGGGGGGCGCCGTCCTGCTCCTCCTCCGCGTCCGAGTCTGCCCCGTGCACAGCACCTGCGGTACCAGGACGCACCACTGATGCCCCGCAGACGGGCTCCCCGCAGACGCACCCCCAGACACGCCTGGGTGCGGGCAGGCGTCCCCAGGGGACTGGCACAGCGCCCAGGTTCCAACTGTTAGGGCTGAGGGGTCCTGAACGGGCTCCACGGCTGCAGGTCTGTGGGCGCCACCCCCCCCCCCCACGCGGGAACACGAACCCAGGGTCACCAAGGGAGGGCGCTGGCCTGAGGCGGGTCATGTGGTCAGTCTGGACGTAAAACCGGACGTGGGGGCTGGGGCCTGTGCTCGCGCCGGCTCTCAGCGTGCTGCCGGGACTCCGGGCCGGCAGGACGGT